CAGGTCTATGTCCTACCAGTCGACCACGCCATCGAACAACAGCAGAAAGTGAGCACACAAACAAACAGACACACAGATACTACAGTAACAATCAATCAATGTTTTAAAAAGTGTTGCAACACCCGGGCACAATAACGATTCTAACAAGGAAATCTTTCGACAGAACCAAGTCTAAGTGCGTCAACTATACGCCATTAAATAAACAGATATGTGCGTCAACTATACGCCATTAAATAAACAGATATGTGCGTCAACTATACGCCATTAAATAAACAGATATTCGCGCCTAAAATTCGCCATAGAATAACCAGATATGCACGCTAAAAATACGCCAATAAATATCCAGATATGCACGCTAAAAATACGCCATTAAATAACCAGATATTTGCGCCAAATATACGCCATTAAACAACCGAATATGCTGGTCAAATATTCGCTATTAAATGACCAGATATGCGCGCCAAAAATACGACATTAAATAAACATATAGGCGCGCCAAATAAATATAAATAACCAGAAAATAAATTCTAAACGATGCTTCGACATAAACACCCAAATGACAGAACAGCGTTTTTGAAAATGACAATGGGCGTAACGTTAGCACAGAGTAAAATACTAACGTTTGCCCGTGTGAGTTATAATCAAGGTAAATTGATCCTAGCTAAACATGTTGTTATACCTGGCTGATTTCGCGGACGTCGGCAATATGGAAGCGTGTCTTAGAGTGACTGTTTGAGGCGGTCAATAGGTCAAGCTGGTGCATTGACATGGCGCTGAGCATTAACAACTACTCACATGGACATTTGGATACATGATGTGTAGTCATATGGACATTAGAGAACATGGATACATGGATATATGGACATGTAGTCATATGGGCATTAGATATACGGATACATGACGTGTAGTCATATGGACATGAGAGAACATGGATATATGGCCAAATATACAGGGGAGTCAATGACCCCAGTCATACCCCCAGCGATTACCCCGAGCTGAATTGTCCCCCAGTAAATTATCTACCACCCCCCCCCCCCCCATGGGAGAGTAAATGACCGGTGTTAATGGACGGGGTGGGGAATGTCCTAGAGGCCATGGATATATAAGTACACTAGGACATTTGAGTTCATGGACATTTGAGTACATGGACAATTGAGTACATGGACAATTGAGTACTGGACATACATATACATGAATACGTAAAAAATGAATATAAGGGCATTTGGATGCATGGACTTTTGGATACATAGACATATTCGTACCTGGACATATAAGAAGATGGAGAAATGGATACATATACGTATGAACACTTGGATATGGATTATATGCATATAATGTGTAAATGGTTTGGATGATAATTTTACATATAGATACACTGACTTGTATGCCGATACACAAGGAAAGATGGAGGCATAAACATATGGATACATAAACATATGGATACATAAACATATACATAAATGGATGCATGGCTTAGAGATTCTTGTACATAAGGATACATTGCCATAAAGATACATGGACATTTTGATACAAGGGCCTATGGACACAAGGAAATACCCTGTGTATTAACACATGTATTAATTTACACATCCATGTTTGGATATGGACATATATAGTATCCTGGGTAGATAAGCGTAGAGATAAATGGATATGGATGTATGGATAATGATATATAGCCTTATATTAATATTAACACGTATGACCTTCACACCAATCAAAATGCCCACAAACCCTGATTTACACATTCTATAAAAATTGAAAATAATCAGAACGAGGTCGACTAATGTATAACGTACAACCAACAAAGTAGCCGGAAGTCCGGCTTTAGAAGCCGGAATTTTTTTCTCTCTGGAAATGCTAGTGCTACGCAATGTGTGGACCGACCAACTAGATGCCAGCATATGAGCCCGGGGGGCGGGGGGGGGGGATGGGATGGGATCGAAAATGTGTTTAAGAATAACCCTCTCGTGTTTGAGGGCGGGGCGGGTGGTGGTGGGATGGGTTCGATAGCAATCATTGATCTTTTGCATTTAGACACAAGGTCGGAGGTCGTATGCGTTGTAAGCCTCGGCGTGGGCGACGCCAGCCGTTATATCGTCCACTGCTCTTTTATTCACCCCCCCCCAACCCACCCTCAATTCTAATGCATTATGGGTGAAGTCTAACAGAGTTACGTCTGGGTGGTTCAAAGGTCAGTGAGACGAGCAGTCAAAAACAGAGTGACGTCAGTGTTTGGAAATGATGATAACGGGATGTCGGAGGGGTGGGGGGAGGGGGGAAGGGGGATAACGGCGCGGCCGTGTTTATTGAAAGGCTTCTTGAAAGAGAGATATCGATTACAATGTTCTTTTGTTGTTCCAAAAATAGAATCATAAATCATTCAAAGACTTTACTTGTCGATCTAATTCATTGTGGCTAACAAGAGGCAAATACACTCGGATGGGAAGATACACATTGGTTCAAGTTATGCTTGTTGATTTTGTAATGTGTAGTTTGGTTGTTGATGTGTAATCGATGTTTTTTTTTTATTTGCTGGCATCGTAAGACGAAGCGAATGCTAGACTTGGCATTGATCAAATAATGAATACAAATTCAAGAAATGCAGTTTAAATAAAAAATTTCCTAGTTGTAAAAATAAAACGAAATATGGGCACCGACAAAAATATTTGCACATTAGCATAAGAAAATTTTTACTTTGGGTTTCCATGGAGATGAGGTGATTTCAACCTGCACATGTGTCTGTCGGTAACCCTATCTGTCTACTGGTCCCTACACACTTATCTATCTGTCTACTGGTCCCTACACACTTATCTATCTATCTACTGGTCCCTACACACTTATCTATCTGTCTACTGGTCCCTACACTCTTATCTATCTATCTACTGGTCCCTACACACTTATCTATCTACTGGTCCCTACACACTTATCTATCTGTCTACTAGTCCCTACACACTTATCTATCTATCTACTGGTCCCTACACACTTATCTATCTGTCTACTGGTCCCTACACTCTTATCTATCTATCTACTGGTCCCTACACACTTATCTGTCTACTGGTCCCTACACACTTATCTATCTGTCTACTAGTCCCTACACACTTATCTATCTGTCTACTGGTCCCTACACACTTATCTGTCTGTCTACTGGTCCCTACACACTTATCTATCTGTCTACTGGTCCCTACACACTTATCTGTCTGTCTACTGGTCCCTACACACTTATCTATCTGTCTACTGGTCCCTACACACTTATCTATCTGTCTACTGGTCCCTACACACTTATCTATCTGTCTACTGGTCCCATACACACTTATCTATCTATCTACTGGTCCCTACACACTTATCTATCTATCTACTGGTCCCTACACACTTATCTATCTGTCTACTGGTCCCTACACACTTATCTATCTGTCTACTGGTCCCTACACACTTATCTATCTGTCTACTAGTCCCTACACACTTATCTATATATCTACTGGTCCCTACACACTTATCTATCTACTGGTCCCTACACTCTTATCTATCTGTCTACTGGTCCCTACACACTTATCTGTCTACTGGTCCCTACACTCTTATCTATCTACTGGTCTCTACACACTTATCTATCTACTGGTCCCTACACACTTATCTATCTACTGGTCCCTACACACTTATCTATCTGTCTACTGGTCCCTACACACTTATCTATCTGTCTACTGGTCCCTACACACTTATCTATCTATCTACTGGTCCCTACACACTTATCTATCTGTCTACTGGTCCCATACACACTTATCTATCTATCTACTGGTCCCTACACACTTATCTATCTATCTACTGGTCCCTACACACTTATCTATCTGTCTACTGGTCCCTACACATCTATCTGTCTACTGGTCCCTACACACTTATCTATCTGTCTACTAGTCCCTACACACTTATCTATATATCTACTGGTCCCTACACACTTATCTATCTGTCTACTGGTCCCTACACACTTATCTATCTGTCTACTGGTCCCTACACACTTATCTATCTGTCTACTGGTCCCTACACACTTATCTATCTACTGGTCCCTACACACTTATCTATCTGTCTACTGGTCCCTACACACTTATCTATCTGTCAACTGGTCCCTACACACTTATCTATCTATCTACTGGTCCCTACACACTTATCTATCTATCTACTGGTCCCTACACACTTATCTATCTGTCTACTGGTCCCTACACACTTATCTGTCTGTCTACTGGTCCCTACACACTTATCTATCTATCTACTGGTCCCTACACACTTATCTGTCTACTGGTCCCTACACACTTATCTATCTGTCTACTAGTCCCTACACACTTATCTGTCTACTGGTCCCTACACACTTATCTATCTGTCTACTAGTCCCTACACACTTATCTATATATCTACTGGTCCCTACACACTTATCTATCTATCTACTGGTCCCTACACACTTATCTATCTACTGGTCCCTACACACTTATCTATCTGTCTGCTGGTCCCTACACACTTATCTATCTATCTACTGATCCCTACACACTTATCTATCTGTCTACTGGTCCCTACACACTTATCTATCTGTCTACTGGTCCCTACACACTTATCTATCTATCTATGGTCCCTACACACTTATCTATCTGTCTACTGGTCCCTACACACTTATCTGTCTACTGGTCCCTACACACTTATCTGTCTACTGGTCCCTACACACTTATCTGTCTACTGGTCCCTACACACTTATCTGTCTACTGGTCCCTACACACTTATCTGTCTACTGGTCCCTACACACTTATCTGTCTACTGGTCCCTACACACTTATCTATCTACTGGTCCCTACACACTTATCTGTCTACTGGTCCCTACACACTTATCTGTCTACTGGTCCCTACACACTTATCTGTCTACTGGTCCCTACACACTTATCTGTCTACTGGTCCCTACACACTTATCTATCTACTGGTCCCTACACACTGGTCCCTACACACCAGTAAATGTTACACAGTACTCACCATTAACACGGCTCCTACATGTCTACACACTCCCAGAACTGTGACGTGTCACCAACACAAGAGGGCGCCACCACACATCAGGTAAGAGCCAACAACCGACCACACGGCCACCGCATCACACGACCTGTCTGGCACCAAGGCACCAGCCCGTCCCCCTCCCCCCTCGCCTCCACGTCACACCACGTCACATCCCCGGCACCAGAGGAGGGAATTAAAAAACATTCTTTGACGTCATACATCTCACGCGAACTCGCGGGGTGATTCCAATATCCCAGACTGCCCTGCCCCTCCCCCCCCCCCCCCCCCTTGTTAGTGACCCGACCCCAAATGATTCGATTCTTATTCTGACGGTGTTCATGAATTAAAACTGGACGCTATGAGATGGGTACATACAAGGATGGGGAGTTTAGGTCTTCATCTGTAGGAGAGGAATTCCCGATGTGTTTTATATACTGGGGTGTTGACGAGATAGGAAAACATTGGTGAGGAGAGTGAGGGGGGGGGGAGCCAGAGGTGACGTAATCACATATTGGGACGTTATGAGAAAGATAAACATTGATGTGTATACTTGTGATCGGGAGGGTAGTGTGATTACATTCAAGGTCGTTTTTAAATAGATACACCTTGATGTAAGTTGTAAGGGAGTGGTGGTAGATGATGTAATTACATTCAAGGCCGTTATCGGATAAATACACCTTGATGTAAGTTGTAAGGGAGTGGTGTGGGATGATGTAATTACACACGAGGTCGTGGCGATGTGGCTAAGTACGTGCACGTCTAGAGTAAGCAAGAATTTGATTGGATGTGGGATACGAATCTCGGTCAAACAAGGATCGGCACATATCAGGTGGGTGGTGGGGTTTCAGAGACTTTGTTCTAGGGAAGGGTTGTCTGGACAGTGGGTTGTGTGGACAGTGGGTTGTGTGAACATTGGGTTGTGTGGTGTGGACATTGGGTTGTGTGGACATTGGGTTGTGTGGACATTGGGTTGTGTGGACATTGGGTTGTGTGGACATTGGGTTGTGTGGACATTGGGTTGTGTGGACATTAGGTTGTGTGGACATTGGGTTGTGTGGACATTGGGTTGTGTGGACATTGGGTTGTGTGGACATTGGGTTGTGTGGACATTGGGTTGTGTGGACATTGGGTTGTGTGGACATTGGGTTGTGTGGACAGTGGGTATTGTGGACATTAGGGTTGTGTGGACAGTGGGTTGTGTGGACATTGGGTTGTGTGGACATTGGGTTGTGTGGGCATTGGGTTGTCTGGACATTGGGTTGTGTGGACATTGGGTTGTGTGGACATTGGGTTGTCTGGACATTGGGTTGTGTGGACATTGGGTTGTGTGGTGTGGACATTGGGTTGTCTGGACATTGGGTTGTGTGGACATTGGGTTGTGTGGTGTGGACATTGGGTTGTGTGGTGTGGACATTGGGTTGTGTGGACATTGGGTTGTGTGGTGTGGACATTGGGTTGTGTGGTGTGGACATTGGGTTGTGTGGACATTGGGTTGTGTGGACATTGGGTTGTGTGGACATTGGGTTGTGTGGACATTGGGTTGTGTGGTGTGGACATTGGGTTGTGTGGTGTGGACATTGGGTTGTGTGGACATTGGGTTGTGTGGACATTGGGTTGTGTGGTGTGGACATTGGGTTGTGTGGTGTGGACATTGGGTTGTGTGGACATTGGGTTGTGTGGACATTGGGTTGTGTGGACATTGGGTGGACATTGGGTTGTCTGGATATTGGGTTGACTGGACAGTTAGTTGTCTGGATATTGGGTTGTGTAGGCATTGGGTATTGTGGACATTAGGGTTGTGTGGACATTGGGTTATCTGGACAGTGGGTTGTCTGGACATTGGGTTGTCTGGACAGTGGGTTGTGTGGACATTGGGTTGTGTGGACATTGGGTGGACATTGGGTTGTCTGGATATTGGGTTGTCTGGATATTGGGTTGTCTGGATATTGGGTTGTGTGGACATTGGGTTGTCTGGATATTGGGTTGTCTGGACAGTTACTTGTCTGGACATTGGGTTGTCTGGACATTGGGTTGTGTGGACGATGTGTGGACATTGGATTGGGTTGACATTGGGTTTTGTGGACATTGGATTGTGTGGTGTGGACAGTGGGTTGTGTGGACATTGTGTTGGGTGGACATTGGTTGGACATTGGGTTGTGTGGAGATTTGGTTGTCTGGACATTGTGTTGCCTAGAGATGCTGCTGTATTGACCTCATGGCATGCATTTGACATTGAATCTGTTTTCATGTTCATTGATCACTGATGTCGAAGATTTGTTAGCAACCTAGTTTTTAGTCACATGACAAGGTATTTGTAGTTACATTTAGGATACCTATTCAACAATAGTTCGCTATTCAAAATTTGATCGATGCTGTTATACTGGAATCGATACCAACTTTCCCCCGAAAACATTATGGTATCGCACAAGATATAATCCATGTTATTATTGTGGTATCGATGAAAGAACGCATCGTCGTTACATTGACAATTTTGACACAGGGTTGTATCGATCCATGTTATGTTGATTTAAATCTGTGCGATATTTTTTTTTCTCCAGCTAAAAATATCCCTGTCTTGTCTTCCGTGCAAGAAAGTTATGCAAACAGCTCTGACGTCACGTGGCTTTAGCTGACATCCCCGGGACTAGATATCCCATAAGGCAAACTTGATCCAAGGATTAAGGAGGTAACATTAGGGAGGTAAAAATACATCGAAAGAAATAACGGACAATATTTACAAAATATAGAGTATTTTGCGAAATACAAAACAGTTTTTGGCTTTTAATGCATAATAAAGGAACACCATAGAACTTGTTTTTTATTGCAGGGTACAGGAATGTCGAATTGCGACATTGGAATTTTAAAGACGACACTGGGTTTTTTAGAACAGTTTTTAAGGGCAATTAGAATATAGAGTAGCATGCAGTGGGTGTAGGATTGTGTAGAAATGGTGTACATTGTGTGTATATGGAGGTGGGGAAAGAATGTTTTGATAATATATTGATCGGGTAAGTGGTTTAGTTAAAACAGAAAGAGTTACGACTAATGATGTAGACGTGGGGGTGTGTTGGGGGAGGGGGCAAGGGGTTAGAACCCTCTCACCCATGCCCCCCCCCCCCCCAAAAAAAATTAAAGCTGTCTCATGCTAATCGCCATGGTAGACTACTTTTGTGTCACTTTACGGATTCTACTTTAAAATTCTACTTGTCTTAAAGCTACAATTTTATATATATATATATATATATATATATATATATATATATATATATATATATATATATATGTGTGTGTGTGTATATAAATATGTATATATATATATATATATATATAAATATGTGTGTATATAAATATGTATATATATATATATATATATATATATATATATATATATATATATATATATATATATATATATATATATATATATATATATATATATATATATATATATATATATATATATATATATATTGTCTGGAACCCAACCTTAAGTAAAAAGTTTGTACTCGGTGGTGTAGTTGATAGACTGCGGACACAATTTTAATTTCAAGGCAATGATCTTGGTCTCTATTCATGTCCTTAACTTAATGGGCTGTTATAAAACAAACTACAAGGCTCGTGATTCTCCTCGTGCATGTTCGCGCGCGTGCGTGAGGGTGAGTAGAATCCGACTACTACTACTACCAGCCCTACGAGAATGGGTGGAGTATTGATTCCTGATTTTTTTTTCCAGCGCGATCAATGAAAGCCTCCGTTGCTTGGCCCAAGCGAATCCTTCGGGCTGCGTTCCACTTTCACAAACGATCAAATCATATGCGGTGCGCCGCGGTAAAAATCTTCGTGACAATTTCACTTAAAGACAAACGCCATTCGTCATTGTCAGCCGGCCCTGGCTCGCGAGTACGTGTTATTCATGAAACGCCAGACGTCATTTGAAGGCGGTCCCACGTTGTTTGTCACCACAGGCCGGTGGCTCAGGATATTTTGCTTTTATTTAGCCTGGTTGTGTGTGTGTGTGATTTTTAGTTGTTTTCTTCACATGTCTGTAATGGAAACCTGCTCCTCACAAATATGGGGGCCCGACTCCCACACTTCTACACATCCATGCACACAAATATGGGGGCCCGACTCACACACTTCTACCAACCCATGCACACAAATATGGGGTCCCGACACCCACACTTCTTCCCACCCATCCACACAAATAATGGGGGCCTGACACCCACACTTCTACCCACCCATCCACACAAATATGGGGTCCCGACACCCACACTTCTTCCCACCCATCCACACAAATAATGGGGGCCGACACCCACACTTCTACCCACCCATGCACACAAATATGGGGGCCCGACAACCACTTCTACCCAACCATCCACACAAATATGGGGGCCCAGACACCCACACTTCTACCCACTTAACCACACAAATATGGGGGCCCCACATACACACTCCCAAACACCAAATGTAGGGGGTGGGCGATACACACACTCCGACCCACCCCGTAACACAAGTAAAAGGGTCCCCGACACACAAAATCAAAACCTCGACACCCACACACTGACAACAACAACACTGTAGAGAATGGATAGAGCTTACGACCACTAATTCGAAAGTCTCGAGTTCGGATCCCAGGCTTGAACCTGTAGGAGGCTCCTGAGACCACCCAGCTCTAATGGGTACCTGATACACGTTAGGGAAACAAAGACGGCTGGACATTTAGCTGACTATTTTATTCCATCGTGTGACGAGATCGTGTGATAAACGAACTCTACTTCATCTGTCCCGTGTGTCTCGGACACGAACAACAAAAGATGATGATGATGACTTCCCTATTTTAATAAACTCGCCATTCATCCCACTGCCACCCCTGTGTCTTATAGAGGACACCAACTGAAGTAGACCAATCAGATACATTGACCTGACTACATGTTAATACCGAACAATAATAATTGTTTTCTATTTCCGTATAGCGGTATGCATTTTTTCCAAGGGTAGAGATCTATGCAGCTTATAATGAATTTTTTTTAAAATTCCGCCAAACATGTCAGAACTTGTTAAGTGGTTTTACAAGGACTATGTATGTGTTCATGT